GTTGTGTACACTGAGGACAGAACCCGGTACCTGAAGCTTGAAATCTTAATTTTTATACACTATGTTAGTGTTTCTGGATACATCTAGCTAACGAGTCCCAGAAAGGATGAAGCGTACGGCATAAATTTCACGAATGGCTACAATCCGAATTTACCATACTAATAAAAACTAATTAATTGCACTCCCTAGTATCAGTAACGAGACCTAATACTCTTTTTTATTGCCATGAACATTACAATTACTTCGATCACTTTGCTCAGCACTTACTTATTTCACGTCACTTGATAGTGAAATTTATTTATTTATTTGAACACATATGTATTGGTACAGGAGTGCGCCAAATATATATGCGCCACACAAAACAATGAGAATTTAAGAAGAAGAAAAAGAAAAAAGTGGGGAACGTAAAAAGAAAATAAAAAAAACAATAACGAAGAGATTGGTGTAAGGTAGTGTAGTAATAATAATAGTAATAATGAGGGAACGGAAGGTACAATCAGAAGAAATATTTCAGCTAAGGAAGATACAACCACGTTTTATGAAGAAAGTAAAAGAAGGCTACAGCATGATCGCCACTGGCTTCTATTCTGAGCCATATCTGATAACGTCTCTAGCCACTGTGTTGCACCATCTCTAGGACCCCAAACAGGGAGTCGTGAAGGACCAACACACGCCAGTCCTTTGCAGCTTTCTTTCATACCACGACACCATGTCATACACTGACCACCTCTCCACTTCTTCCAACCAGTCCCAGAGTCGGCAAATAATGCACGACGTGGAATTCTATGGGACGACATTCGTAGAACATGTCCAAGCCACCGAAGTCGGTGTTTCAAGATGGTGACACCAATTGAATTATCGTCTCTGCGCCCGAAAACACGATGCCGAACCTCTGCATTACTAACATGGTGTTGCCACTGGATGGCAGCAATCCTTCGGAGACGACGATGACCAAACACAGAGTTGTCTAAAATCCTCAACTCGGAAAGGCCAGGTTTCACAAGCATAGAGCAAAACTGCTCTCACCGACGCGTTGTAGATCCGACCTTTTACAGCCAGACTAACATCAAGAAGGCGCCAAAGGTGGCCCAGATTGGCATAAGCCGCTCTGGCTTTCACTATTCGTGCATTGATCTCATCATTCACACCCCAACCAGCACTTATGCAGCTACCTAGATACACGAACTTCTCGACTACGTCTATCTGTTCACCATCCAGGGTGAGTACAGCATCAGAATCCTGCCAGTCTTGTAGAAGTACTTTGCACTTCGAGGGTGCAAAGCACATACCATACCTATGGACATTGATTGACAACTGATTAAGTGCGGATTGCATGTCTTGGGCATTATCGCACAGTAAGACAATATCATCCACATACTCAAGGTCGAGAAGTCTTTCTCCAGGCAACAGATCCACACCACTATTACTTACATTCATCAGAGCTGTCTCCAGAATGTCATCGATGGCAAAGTTGAAGAGGAATGGTGAGATTGGGCAACCCTGCCTAACCCCACTGCACGAATGGAACAATGGAGAGAGGTGGTTGTATGCCCTCACTCTGCCTGAGGTGTTTGTATATAGGGCCTTTAGAATGTTAGTAAACTTCTCAGGCACACCCTTCTTCAATAGACAATCCCAGAGAACAGTCCTATCCAACGAATCGAAGGCAGCCCTGATGTCAAGAAACACTACGATTGTTGGCCTGTGATGTGTATGACGGTGTTCTAACATTTGGCGGAGGGTGAAGATATGATCAATACATCCTCGACCAGAACGAAACCCAGCCTGCTCCTCGCGAGTCAATCTTTCTCGGGTTTTGAACAACCTACGAAGTATGACGGAACCCAATAGCTTGGACGCAATCGGAAGTAGACTTATCCCCCGATAGTTGTTACAGGAACACCGTGAACCCTTTTTAAAGATAGGGACAGCTATCGACTCATTCCATGACGTTGGTACGCTCTCTAGCTCCCAGACTTTTGTAAACAACGTTGTCAGTTCCTTAGCCAGAAAGTCACCACCATCTTTAAAAAGAGCCGGAGGTAAGTCATCTGGGCCAGGTGATTTGTAGCGCTTCAAGAGTTGGAGTTCCTTGCGGACTTCCTCCTCGTTTGGTGGATCAGTCGTCACCGGCCATGGAGGGCAGGACAGTCTGACCGATGTTGCCGGAGCAGCAGGCCAGTTGAACTGCCCTTCGAAAAATTCTGCCCATCGTCCAAGACGTCGGTGGATGTTAGTGATTGGCATCCCATCATCCTCGCAGATTGTTTCGCTCACACCAGACTTCTTGCTGCCAGTGACTCGGATGAGTTGGAAGAGATTCCGGTAGTTACCAGACGCACCTGCAGCTTCCAGCTCATTAGCACGCTCCGACCACCAGGCTTCTCGGTCCTTACTCAAGCTTTGCCCAATTTCATTGCGTAACAACCTTCGTTTGTGGTCAAACTCACGGTCACCCGGAGTAGACCGACGGGCTTCAACGAGTTGTAAGGAACCAGAAGAAACCCGGTGCTCAAAAGCGGGACGTTTCGCAAACTCACAACTGACTGTACCCGCCATTTTCATGGCGTCATGCAATTGCAACCAACGCTCATCTACACTTTTCGGTGGTATGGTACCTAGCCTAGAAGCTAGCTCGGTTCGATACTTACTTGCAACAGGAGTTTCAAGCAACTTGCTGACATCAATCCTTTGGATTGTAACTCATTTATACGTAATATCTAGTGTAACAAATGAATTTTATTTACCTAATTTTGACTGTATTATAATTATGAAACATTGAAATTTATTGACAAATGAAAACTATAGGAATTAGGCTACTTCAATTTGTAGAATGGATCAATATTTTTAGTAATGAATTCATAAAACAAAACTGTGTACATCAGGGTATTGAACATATACTGAAGTGTTATCGCAACCCTATTGGTCAGTTTCGTTTATTTCAAGACGACTAGTACTGAGTCCCTATATATTTTTACTGCACACAAACTTAGTTGCTTATCCAGTGTAACACAACTGAAATTTCGCTACTAAAGTCCTTATTCTCATTTAGCATACAATTATTGGAGTGTAATTCCATTAATTATAGGTTATCATTGAAAAACACTGTAGCATCTAACACAGTTGTTACCTAAATCTCTTCGTTCGGAAAAAATTCCGTGATCATTCCAGCTACTAAAAATTGAAAATGCTAATTTAGATGACCTTTCTAAGGACACTATATGAATGTATTATGTCAAATTGTTATTCATCTCATGCATACATACCACATATTATGTAGAATTTAATGTTATTATTTCTATTTACATATATATTACGTTAAAAAAAACAAATTACTAACATACAGATGATTTGTCCTTCAAGTATAACTAGAACAGATTTTTGGTTGAGATCATGAAATAATTGATGTTAGACCACCGTTGGAAACCTGGAAGCACTGGACGGCCGTTTCGTCCTAGTATGGGACTCCTCAGCAGTGCGGGATCGTGGATGCGCACTGCTGAGGAGTCCCATACTAGGACGAAACGGCCGTCCAGTGCTTCCAGGTTTCCAACGGTGGTCTAACATCAATTATTTCATGATCTCAACCAAAAACTTAACAATCTCCACAACCCCCATACTGATAGAACAGATTTGTTATTAAAAAATCCTTAATCAATAGGAAAACATTTTCTGAAATACATGATGGCGGATTTGACAGAAATATACTCAAGTATCTGAAAACTATTTTATATAAAAGGGTATTTTACTAGTTTTAAAAGTTTGTATTTTTTAATCGAAGGTAAAATGGAATACAACAATACACATCGACGAATTTTATGGTTATTATGACTCACTAGACTCGTGAAAAAATTTCCAAGTGTTGCTGAACAGGACCAAAGATTCAGTAGATATCCAGCTGCGAGATCGACAGATAGGATCGGTCGTGCACAGACCAAGTCGCGACACTACGGATCATAGTTACACAATCAACTGAATGGAACTCGTCATTATACACGTTAACGCCCTTGATTATGAGAAAACCTTTGACAGCCTAGGTAAAAGAACCTTATGAAATTTTCTTCGACACTATGGTGTACCTGACAAAATCGTCAACATCATCCGGAATTTGTAAGACGGACTACACGACAAAGTTGTGTATAGAGGACAGTTGACAGACGCATTCCAAGTGAGAACCGGTGTCAGACAAGGCTATCTACTCTCCCCCTTCCACTTTCTTCACGCGATTGACTGGATTATGAAGACCTCGACTTCTGAGAGGAAGCACGGAGTACAACGGAAAGCTTGGATACAACTGGACTGCAGCCGTCTTTACATCAGTAGACTTTAATATACACAAGGGAAAAAAAGAAAAAATCCTTAAATAGAACACGGAGAACACGAACGCAATCTCACTTGTAGGAGAAACTCTGAAAGAGGTGGTAACTTCCACGTATCTGTGCAGTATCACCGATGAACAAGGAGGATCCGATGCAGACGTAAAAGTAAGGATTGGGAAAGCAAGAGCAGCAGTTCTACAGTTGAACAACATATGGAACTCAAAACAACTATTAACAAACACCAACGTGAGAATTTTCAATACGAACGTTAAAACAGCTTTATTGTACGGAGCTGTAACTTGGAGAACTACTGATCAAAGAATGTTTGTAGATAAAGAAGAATGACAGTTAATAACACAGATGATAAACTTGTCTTTTTTAAACAGTTACTATAGTAGCACTTTAAACGGATAACAAAACCGAAATCTATTGTAATATTGTATAGTTATGCTGAGAATCATTTACTGTAATCAAACATATGGTATAAAATAACGGAATGCTTATTAATTAAGTTATGTCATGATAAGCAAGCATCAATTGAAGAAAACTATTCTGGTTTTTATTGTTAGTCAGTAATTATAATTTTTAACTTAGAATTTCATGACAATAAACCTGGTGAAAGCCTCGCAATTATAATTTATTCAGTTCAGCAAAGAACACAATACGCTTGAATGCATCCATCTCGAGTTGGAAAATTTACATTGTTACCACTAAATTATATAATATAGTAAAATCCAACTAGTTTACAGTATACTACTTATTTTATTTCACTATAAAGAAATAAATATTTGAAAGATAAATAGATAAAAATTATCTATAAAAGTAATAAATAAATAGAACGAATATTTTAAAACAAATTGTTAATTGTCAATCAACATTGTAATAATTGATTTGTCTAAGCAATTACACACATCATTATCATTAACATGTTACAAAATCTATTGAAATGGAAAGAGTGAAACAGTTAAATAGTCATGATGACAATAATGAAAAATCATTATGCTCTTCTAAACAAATACACACATCATATATGACTCAGTTTGTATCTGTACATAATTAGATTTAGATTTAATATGCATCTCTCTCTCTCTCTCTCTCTCGCTATATATGTATATTTGGGATAACGAATTACAAGCCACTTATAATGATATCAATGGGAAATATACATAATGAATTTGTCATTATTGCTTTACTCAGTTTTAAATGGTCGAAAAACCGAAAGTTAGCCAACTATGAGAAAAAGTAGGATAATCATAAACTACTACGAGTAATTTTAATTGTTCATTTTTATTTAAATTCAACTCCTTTGTACAAGTAACTAAACTAAATAGTCACGTGAGTATAAGCACACTCGCATAGACATACATACACACAAATAAGAGAATAGATCACAGTTGTGTTTTTGTTTAAAATAACAAACAAAAATAATTCACTATTAGTTTTAGGAACAATAATAATAATGTTGATGATTTTACTGTTTACTATAAAGGGTGAAAAACACCAACACATGAAGTCAGCCATGTGTGTATAGATGCATCATAACTTCAAAGTTGAAACAGATTCCAAGAAGAAAATTTTGTTGCACTTTTTCCATTTCAATGTAATAAACACTTCTTTTTTAAACAAAAAAAATAGTCAGTGAATATTGTTGAGATTATTTCCAATTTTACAAAGAACAAGGAAATACATAAAAGTGGCAAACACGCAAAAGAGATTGATTTCGTATTCGTTCTAAACAAAATATGATAAATGAAAAGGAAAGAACACAGAATGAGGACATAACGGAGACGGAACAACACCGAAAAAGTGAGAACCTCTGTAAAAAGAAAAGGGAATGATTGATGAATTAAACAAAAAACAATGATCCAAATTCACGTTCCCAAACAGCTTGACTTGATTTATTTAATTTCTTTGATAATTTTATACCACCACTACAGTCGCCAGTGCGATTACCAGCGCCAATAGGTAAACCAATATTGGCATTGAATTGCTCAGAATTGAATTTATTATTGACTGTATCACTGACAGATGAAGGATTGAAATTTTCACGCCCTTGTATTTTTTTTGGACCATTCGCAATAGGTGGAGACATATCATGTAGATAGAAGTCACAAGATGATATATCATCAAATACTTCAGCCATATGTGCACGTACTGAATGTGCCTAATATAGTGAACAACAACAGGTAAGACATATATATTAACGCTAAAATGTACTTATGATGAACGAAAATGGTTATTTTCTTGACAGACTGACGTCAATTGAATAATTATTTAAAACTGTACATCACTGAAAGTGTTCTCTTTGGTTTAGTTTTTGGATTTCACAGTAACACGTTCTACTCACGGGATACATCAATCTCATGACCTATGGTTTATTCAGTGGATATACAATATTTTTAAACTTCTTAGATTATAGCTACTGACTAGCAAATTTAGGCTGTTTACAATAAAACGTAACTATCACGTTATATATATATCGACAAGTTCTGCCCTCAATATATATGTCATTCACATATATCACCTAATGATCCCTGATTTTCGTTGGTTCCCTCTTCGGCAATAATTCTAACAAGCTAATAAATTAAAGATCTTTAACAGAAATATTTTCCGAAATTCAATACAGATTACAAATTGGCTGTTTGGTTTTAATTCTGAATCTAACATAAGACATTGTGCACAAACTAAACAGTGGTAGTTTACTCACAGCAAGATTCAAAACTAATGAGGCTTTGATTTTGATAGGAAAACGGTTTTACAGAAGAAATTTTTCCAACGATATTGACAATGAACAAATGTTTGTCGTGTAACGCATTCAATAACTAACATATTCAATTTCTATTCTCAATTGTTAGATTATTTCGAATTCATTTTTGTATTTAGCTGGGTGCTATTGATTATTTGAATGTCAATCCATATATCCCGTGTGTGCAGACCGAGGTACGGCACTCACATTTTCCTTAGTTCACCGAAATTATACACGCTTTAGACAATAACGGCAACAGCGTAGCTACTGCCTAAACACAAATTTGCCAAGCGTTAAATAATGAGTTCCTGAAGTCGGAAAGCTATTCATTAAAAAATGCATGCGTACGTATGTTCAACGTATATAGGAGGTGATACCCCCTTTAATATCTTTAAATTTTTGCAGATATGTATAAAAAACAAAGTACAAAATTCACTTTTTCACGTTGTTGAGCACAGATTTCATTGAATTCAGTTGAATTAAAACATCCATCTAATAATCGATCTTCTTCGACAAATTTCGGTGGTTTTTGAATTTCTTCTCCGTCACCTATGTATATAAATGAATAAATAAGTCGAATTTGTGAAAAAACATGAATTAAAGTGTGCGAAGACTACACAAATGACTAAATGACAGTAGACATTTCAACATTTATTTGCTAATTACAGTATGACCAGGTGATATTAGTCAGTCATAGTTGTACGAATTATGAACTATTACTCTATAATCATATTTCCTTCCACATAGAAAAAAAATTAGTCGATTAAAGAAAATCTCATAAAGTCATATCCAAATTACGAGACTACACATGACATCATTTATGTATAGCGACATTTATGCAAACGATGAAATTATTCAGAAAAGTCAGTCAATCAGTTATAATCAACTGCATCACTAACACTGATTCTAGGCTATAAACAGGTATATACATATATGCATGCCTGACAGCTGGAAGGCTACCTCTTGACAACTATCAACTATTCATTCATAGTCATTCTCACTTACGAAGCGATCTTGCAAAAACTACTTCTACTAATGTGGTGTGCTACTTATATTGACATAAGTAGTATATAACGTTACTCGTGAACAGAAGGCCTGGCAGCAGAGAGACAAGAGGATCGAGAAGTAAAAAATAGAAACAGAGTGCAATTTGTATGAAAATGCGAGAACAATCAAGTCTGAGCCATTTTGAGACAATCAATGGACATTCTGCAAATTAAGCATTTACTTTATGATTGTTAGATTTTATTAACAAGTCCTGTAATTCTGTGCTAAATACATTCGATTGTCCCCCCGGGTGTTCTGCTCACTACACTACTACTACCACTACACTGTTTTACGTTCCATCGAGTAATGTTCGCGTTAATCACGATAGGGAAAGAAAACGCTAATATCCTTATGAAATGACATCATTTGTTAATTATTCAATAAAATACCCGACATGCTTTATGTCTCGCTATGCAAAAAAAGAGTATATTTACACAGTGCAAGTGAAATTGTCTTGTTCAAGGAAAAAGAGAGAAATTTGGAAAACAATTAGGATTAATGCCGATTAAGGAATTTCTTTATTTCATTTTATATTTTAAATATTCCGGTTAAATTAAAAACAATATTAAGCTTGAGATATTACTTGGTTTTAGAAACCAGCGAAATTTACAGGATGCAAATAAGAACACGAAAACTGATGTAGAAAATTTATTCCACCGTACAAAATACACGAATTGTTGCGACGGTAGCTAAATGATGCTGACATCTTGATCCCGTGAATCGCATGACACAAACAATAACGCGAAGATAATAGATAAAGATTTATTTCACACCGAAAATAAATCAAAACCAATGTCTGAATACATCAATTTCGTATGACTTACATTGATTAACAGTGAATTTTGTGTATATTAAACTGAGTATTACCAGACATTAATTTGCCAATAATGATTATTTACAATACAAAATTAACCACCTATAACCAACAGATATATCTAATATAATCACACCTCTTATAATGTGATTTCACATTATACGCGATTGGAAAAAACCCAATTGAGTATGTCATTTGAGCCGTCATCAATTAACATTGTTGCTCATCATATAAATGAATAATATCTGTACTAGTGTAAACGGTAGTGTTTGATTGGATCAATATTGAAATGAGAGAATAATAGTAAAGCAATAAATATGTTTGGATTTTTTTTCATGGACTGCTGCAGCAGCACAAAAACATTTTTCTGTAAAGATTACATTCACGTAAATATTGAAGAATTTGCACGTAATCAACTGATATAATTTAAATTAATAAAACAACAGTGATAACGACTTAGTTAATGTAGAAAGAAATATATTTATCTTTTTAGAAAAGTTACAGAAATCAACACATTCAGTACGTAAATACAGGTAGAGTTTATGCAGAACTATAGAGTCAATAGTTTATACAGACCGAAACAAACAATGCTATAACTACTACTGTTACATTTTATTCTTAATTCACTGTTCGAATTCTTTTATACTATGTAATTTAACTGTATCAACATAACAGAGAAAATAATTTCCAAACTTTTCGTAAATACGCAATTGATGCAAGTAGTCAGAGAATAGTATGAGATTCAGAAACAAAAATGGGAAAATCTAAGACCGGTATGATTGATAAAGTATTTGATTGAGTGACGATTGAATGATCATTTGATAAAATGGGTCGAATGAATGATTTAGAATCCTAGTGAAATAATCGTTGAAAAAGTGAACTCTCATTTCAATGAATAATAATGTTTTAAGGAACTAAAGCTATGAAGAAGACTGAATAACAATTAGTTACTAATAATACAGTGAATGGTTAATAAAGAATAAAAATAAAAACCTATAAAACAATCGGTAGAGATTTACATCGCATTAACAGTAACAAAGAACCGTAAAATGATCAACATTTGGATAAAGGCAATTTAATAGTAGAGAGAAATTTGTAACTTGGGTAGATGGATTCAGTAAAGCTGAATCTCATAAGCTCGATGGTTTAATTTATGGAGATTTCTAGTTCACTCTTGAAAATATTACCATTAACTGTATGGCTTCCTTAAAAGTTTTGAAATTATATCATACTCTTTATTTTACCGACTTACAAAAAATCAAAAGAGAAATAGCCACGTTTATCATTAATTTAATAGATATTAACTGAGAATTCAAAAACTAACTTTTACCATACTTAATTAAACGGAAGATATTTTAATAAGATCTTATTTTAATTAATTACGTTAAGTGAAAATTACTTACCTTTAAAAAACACATCTAGACAAGTCGGAAAAATTTAAATAATTAAGTACAGAGAACAAATGAATGTGAGTTAATGGGCGAGAGAGTTTAAAGTAATGAATAGACAATAGATTATCAAGCCAAATCACCGCATAACAAAATAATAGAGACTAATTAGGAATGAAACTAGTTGACCGATTCTTGCATCCCAAACACTAAATGAATGCACAGGTTTTGAAAAAAGGTTCATAAACTTGCCAAAATTCTCCCTCGTGATTATTTTCAGACTAAAGTAGTATAGAAGTTTAACGGAAATTACTTAATCCGATGAATGGATAAAATCAATTGTTGATATAATATTCCCTTGCCAGATCCGAAACCGATTATTTAATGGATCCTATCACACGATGATAATAATCTGTATAATTATAGCTGCTTTCGTTAGTTTGTTTTCCTAACATACTAGTGATAACTGAAATTGTCTCATTAGATTATCAATAAGAAATAGCAATGAAATATTAAGGGTTTTAAATTTCATCATAATTTTAACAAATTATCTATTTCCACATGATATACAATAATGTAACGGTTCGTTATCTGATCTTCCATACAAGTTAACAGTCAGTAATAATGAGAAGTATCGCACTGAAGAGGACTGAATTTCGATCATGTACAAGTACAGGAGACGCTGGAGGTGGGTAGGGCAACATTATGAAAATTATTAAGCTGCATCATGAGGCAAACGCTCACTTAAGATCCTGAAGGAAGGGGGGCCGATCAAAGAACATATTGCTCCGAGAATTGAAAGCAGACATTAAAAATGGATATCACTTAGAAAAAGTTAAGAAGGAGAGCCCAGGACAGAGTTCCTTGGAGAATCCTGGTCAGAGGAAAATGCTCTACGAGAAGTAACAGGCGTAAGTAGGCAAGGCACATCTGTATGAAGAATCCTAAATAGGATGAAACATATATTCTGGATTCAACTGCTAATAACTTAAAATCTACAAGATTAATGGACCTATCTACCGAAGATGAGCATATACTAACAAAGAACAGTCAAAACATTTAGCTCTGAATATTAGCAACACGATGTAATCCGAGCCATTGTAAATACTTCTATATAGTATGTTTAAACTAAAAATATAGAGATTTAATCCCAACTATCTCGAAGTTCAAATCAATATACCGATTTGAATGTTTCGGTTTTCGATATATGGTTTGATTTACACTAACACTGGAACTGCTTTTAACTAAAGTCTAAGAAAGGTAGTTCGCTACGTTCATCTTTTTTTGAAAGTGAATTTGATGTGTTATGTGAGTATGTTTATGTGTTTGGAGAAATTTCTAAGTCTTTTTAATAGTGATAAATGTGTCATCTATGTATCATCTAAGCCAGATGCGTGGTCTGATTGTGCCAACACCTCGACGTCCGTTAATATTATAAAAAAGCTGAACATCTCACAAAAAATTATTGAAGATTGTAAGTTTGTAGTTTCGTACCCCTTCGATAATGAATTTAATGCTAAAGTAAGATCAATTTTTTTATAAATCTATTTTCAATGCGTCCATAGAAAATATTGAGAAACCTAATTTCACTTTTATTTCTAACTTTTCATACGCAAAAGATTTCACAAAGTACATCGTACTAGTATGCTGTTTATTCTTTTTCTAAAGTATTAAAGGTTATCAGAGCTGATCTGTAAAAACGAACTAACATATTTTATTTACAAATTTAAATCTTCAAATAGTTTAAAACGAGGTACTATTAAGAAAGATAGTAGTATATTCGGTAGTTTAACAGATACGTTACAGTTATCTTAAAACAATCTTATCAAGCCATGATCACTACTATGGATTTTAAAATATCAACATTTTTTCACTGAAAACTTTATACCCTGCCTAATTTTATCTTTTCCTCACAATTGTTCTTTGAAACTAATTGTCCGTTCTAAAAAAATAGTTAGGTTATTTGTATTCTAAGTTAATATACAAAGTATGTAATCGATAATACTAAATACACAATTAAAACATTAAAATGTCTTTTGCAAGAACCTTCATATTTCTTAGTTTGCGTCTATTGTTGAAGGGTCAACGTATTACTGTCGACATGCCATCTAATAATAATAGTATTATATATGAACTTAATATTACCATTTATAACCTGTTATAAGTAAACTTCTTCTGTACACATGTAATATAAAAAGTTAGAAAACTCTTCAGACAGTTTACAGGCTTGAACTTTGTTTTACGGTGTTGCGATCCAAGATCGCAAATGGTCAGTCTCCGTTAACACATGAACATTGTAAGACGTTTGAAGCTTAAATAAATTAGGCTGGAATTCTAGTACGAATATTAATATCGTGATGTGTGTACAGTTGCATAAAGAGTATGGAATAGGACGAAATGGGTGTCCTGGATTGAATGGACAACCGAAATTGGAGAGACTACAATTTATGGACGAACCAATGAAACTAAAGATAGCTAATCTTGGATCTCAGCACGAAGTTCATTAATCCATGTGGCTAAATAGCAATTTGACATTATAACTAACGTTAACTCGTGATGAAAACCAAAACTTTGCTTCTTAATACTAACTTCTAACTTCGATCCTAGCAAGTAGGTAAGTTTTCTTAAGGTCACTTTGGGAGTCGCAAAGGGGTGTCCATAAATTATAGTTTCACCCTGAAATCCAAATCTACCAAAAATTCATATTGTCAAGTGTAATTGTAAAGCTGGTTAATGTGTCCTTCATTTCCACAGTTACACTCAACATATATTACAAATTCTACCTGTTTATAAACATTTACATTCCAATAATTCTAAATACATAGTTAATTTAACTAGCTTGTATACAATACACAGACAGGCACCTTATATATATATATATATATATATATATATATATATATATATATATATATATATATATATATAAACACAATGTAACTAGTTGACTTACAATAAATGTACACATAACAAATGTAAATGTATGGATATAACTAAGTATGTTTATAGAGATCACTCTATTTCTTTCTTATTTGTACAAATGGATATGATCTAATTACTAATTGGTTGAAAAATACTTAACTCATTCAATCAGTCATTATTTCATTAGTATACAAATATGTATGCATGGTAAAATCTAATTATGTAAAAATGAATATACATACATATGAATGTATCTCTTCCTATGAGTAAAACAGTATAATAAACATTGCTCGCCTAGAAATTACCATCAATAGTCAGACTGTGTAAGTTTAAATCCAAAATTTACATACGAAAAAGAAATGTAGTTCTACAAAATATATTTAAACATCAACTTTTCGCCACTTTCTTCTTTATGCACTTTCATAATCGTTTCTTTTTTGTTTATAAACCAAATGTTATGTTTATACAGAGAATTTAAGTTAATTTTCATTAAAAATTGGCATCAGGCGGAGAGAGTACCAATGAATAATGTGTGTGGTTAAGAAATACCAGAAGTTAAACAATAACTTAAACACGAAATAAAAACTGCTACAAAACAATCGAATACGTTTAATGATTTATCCAGTATATATATATATATATATATATATATATATACTAGAAGTAGTAAATGAGATGACATAAAGTTAATCATTCTCGCTCAAAACACATAATTTAACTGAAACTGGATAATTGATGTGCGCTAAACGGATCACACGACCCAATTGTTCGATCCAACAAATACACAAACTGAGACTAAAAAACTTAACAAATTTTAGAGTACTTTCGTTATTTCTTATTTTTATTGAGTCTAATCCCCTATTATTTCATTTTGCTTTTTAAATGCAAAATGATTATGGAGTGGGGCGAATATCTTGATCGCACAGAATAGTATAAATTGAGAACAGTATAAAAGATATCTAACTACTTATCATTTTATGATTGAATTTATAAAAGGTAGGAAGTGTACATAAATTAATTCGAAATTAGATGTGTTTGAGCAATAACAACGAGATAGTCAGAACAAAATAATCTATACATATTCTAATAATAATTCATGGTGCTTTGAATTCACCTTCATGCTATTTAGAAAGTACAAATGAGCCAAAGTAAACCAAGTTAGGAATGGAGCAGTAAATGACCGAAGAGAAGATTAATGAGGATTGTAGCACATAATAAAAGTTGACTGAAATTGAAACAAAACGATATTGCATTCCAACTCAGTGATCTGAAATATTATGCTTATAACAAGACCTGATGATAGTCATATGGAGTTCGAATGTATATAGACTCGGAACTGGGATGCAGAGTACTCCCTAGTTATGACTAATCAACTAACTGATATTAGTTTTTTTGCGAAAAAGGCATTTGAAAACCATACAAATCTCTCTCATTTATCAGGTATAGATTCGTGTAATGGCTATTGAAACTACACATAGCCCAGACTGAAGTAGGTGGGACGGGATTCGAATTTGAGACTTAATGGTTGAAAGGTGAACACCTTATCCACTTAGCCACCACTTTGAAAGCAAAGCAATACAATAAAGATTCAGGTTATTCATTGTATTCTACGTTCAATATCTAATTGTCAACAAGTCAAGTGTTACACACCGTTAGTTATATAGTGGTTTCTAGAATCGATAAGCCAGAATTCTTCTTGTAACAGCATAAACTACGGTGAAATCTCATGTTATGAAAGTAGTAGAACGAAAATTCTGACTACTAAAATCAAAATTTATTAAATAATAAACTTACTAATTATTTTGCGCATATTCTTGAATGATAAGTATTCATCGACCATCTCATATTTGGGAAGAGGGAAGGAAGTGAAGAAATGGAAATCAGAAATGAAAATGATGGTCAACAAAATACAGATATTGAATGACATTAATTAATGATATAATTGAACAGTATGTGTTGTCCAACTATTTGTGCACATTAAATGAGCGAACAGTCAACAAATGTCTAGTAAGTTAAACATATCACTTATTCATATAGGCTTCAAATCATATAGGTAGTTATACACAGGTGAAATATGGTAAATTCAACATCTACAGCTTACATTTTACTCACGATTAAAATAGATCAATGACACTAACGTAACAATAGCTGATGTAGGTTTGATTCCTTTGAAGAGCATCAGTTCGCATTTAGATTATAGATACTCTCTATTCATGAATGTTAACTAGCACAAAGTTAGCATTCAAACCTCCGATAAGAGTAATTTTTACGAACGAACAATACATATAGTTCAATGCTAGTAAAAGTCAAAAATACAGTACCAAAGGGAGAACAACAGAATTATATTTATGTGATCACAGTGACAGATCTGCTTGTTGAACATTTGTTACTGACTAGCAAGACGCTCTCTATAACCCCCGGTAATTTCTACGCTGCAACTCGAACATTAGAGAAAATGTACTAAATGTCAGTAGCAGCTTTACTACAAGCATAATTCTGTATAGAAAATGCAATGTAATTACATACTTTCATGTGACCTTAGTCATCCACAACTGGATATAGTAAAAATCTAGGTATTTATCCAATCTTTATTTTTCTAGATGTTTAGAAGTCTCTAGTCAATAGTAGGTGGACAAAACATTTTCAGTCTTTTCCCGGGACACTGGAAACTATTTCGAGGGATATTTGTGGACATACAAAGATTTATATTCACACCTAACAGAATCCAAATCCACCATTTTAACAGGATTGGACAATGTTTTGGTATAGTTGTTCTGTGAACCCTATTTATGTTTGGCGATTTCGTTCTTTAGTTATTTGCTGAAGAAGACCAAACTGTCACGGGGAACATTGAAATTATTCTTAATTTCAACTGCTGAAAATTTCACAAATATAATTTCCTTTTATGTATTAAATAAGAATTTCTTTTCTTCAAAACTTGTTTTATAGTGCAGTACATTCTTTTCGAAAAATCATTCGACCTTGATGAATTGTTTACTTGTTGACATTTTTCCTCAGTCACTTTGTGTGTCTATATATGAACTCAAAAGATTTGGAGACAGATACTTTTCAAGACAAAACAAATTGGATAATCAAACAAAGTGACAGGTCGATCAGCAATAATCAACGTGGAGCTCAGTAAAAATGTCAGTTGACCCAAGTTACAATAGGTTTGAACTTAACAATAGTACACATCGATAATCTTCTGTGAAGGATCGTATCCATGAGGGCTGACGCAGGTTTCACAATGAAAAACTTAGTATGTTATTGAAGAGGGGGAATTTGAACAATTTAAAATTAATAGGGATTAATTTGATTTATTCAGTGTCAACTGCTTATTACTTTCTTTCATATTCAACTTCGTTGACTTTGCACGCCACAATATATGAAATAAAACGCTAGAAATTTTATATTTGGAAAAGGCATTACTGATTAACAGAATAGATTACTTTTTGTTGAGATTTGAAGGTGTTCGGCGTTAGACTGTATGGAATTATCATTGTGTATTACTGAGGTCTCATTACGTACTGGAAATAAAGTAAAAACATGTCTCTCTGTTGGCAAACATTCGCCGATCGTGATAAAATTTATCTTCAGTTTGTGTTAAACCTTTATATAAATACAACATCAACCATGATAATACTTACATTAGTTGAATCTGCCACTGAATAAAGGCTATCAGTTAGCGAAAAACTACTTCCAGATTGAGCAAAGCATGTACCGCTTTCTACAACTGTAATTAACAGATAAAAACAACATTATTATCACTATTATAATGAATTTTATCGTGAATACTTGAACTTTACTAAGGCTTTAATTTCTACGTAAATGAATTTTTGAATTGATTTGCGATCTATGGTCAGCCGAGAACAATTGCATAACATGAAAACGAACAATAGTTGTACATGTATATAATTTAATGAATTCTCATTTGATGAAATACACTATGAACGCGTGAATTTTATTAAACACGACACATACATTAGCCAAGCAGTATGAAATCCTACATGCTCAACACTCCATTACTTATAGAATACGACCAGTGTCAATTTCATTTTACAATCCTTACTAGACCAGTTTTGCAAACAACAAGATTTGTTAGATATCAAAGTTAACTGATTTCTGAATGATAATCAATGTTACGAATAGACATCACTGACAAAGTTTTTGTTGCATAGTAATCACTAAACTGAATGGTGTGAACGCTGTACTGTATTTTATGACAATAAGCATTTTGATTACATTACGTGTTTGTAGGTACCTGCCAGTAAAGTATTCGAAGGTAATGAAGAAATAGATATGGATTATGAAATTTAAAATGATAACATTCAAAGACACAGTTTAGGGCGATGTAGATAATCTCCAACTTACTGAAACTACAAGCATTTACATGTGCTAAACAAGATCAAATTATTATCAGTTAAACAGTTGGTAGCAACATCGACATAATGATTAATCCGCACTATAAATGTAAACCAACAGTACTCATCTGATTGTTCACAGTAGACTTAAAACAAGTATCATGGAATAAACACCATTTCTGTAATAATATGATGCGTCAGGAACAAAAAAACACTGTGAAAATAGACAAAATCCCTAAATGAATTCATTTAACTTAACTATTTGATTATGGCTGAAGAAACAATTTCATTGGTTTGAAACTCCATAGAATTATACCAAATATAACAATAGAGAAATTTGAATTCAAGAATCCAAATGGTCATAATGATCAAATTTGGCCGCTATCTGATCGGTGTTAAAAATTATCATTATTAATAATGACAACAATAATCAAAGGTAAGTGTTGGGATTCATTTATGGACTAATATTACACGTATATTCATGTTGTATATTTATTAGGTAACTAGATTAGGTATAATCATAGTCCTCTTATCATAAGCTTTATTTTGACCTATAGACTATTTGATATAATTTACTGTTTTTGAGTTGTTTCCAGTTTATTAATTACAGTTTCCCACAATCACAGCCACTATTTGGCATGATCTTGTATAAATGTTATTTTCTATTTTATGGTGTGATGTGGTCTGTTTGGTTTGTATATAAACCTAGTATGTTTGAAATATGTGATAGATATAGTGGAAGCTGGTATTGGTTTTCTGGCATCAACTGTCAGTGCTAGGCGAAGAAAAGGACCAACCGGGACTCGAGACTGCTCATACAGGTCTATATATCATTGGTTTGGCACAGGGCTAAGATTGTATAAGTCATATTCCTATTGGCGAATAAGTCACGTGATAATTAGCCGAGCTTAAAAACACAACGGTTTGCACTTCACCTTTACAAATTGATTCAGTTACAAGAAAGTTTATATGAGGATTATTTCTTCATTGTTATTACCTTCCTCTTGATGAATTTTATTTACTAATATCTTGGTAAAACATAAATGCAAATAAGATTTGTACCATAATTGTTATGAGCTTCATGGGGACTTGCTTTTGCAGCCAATATTATGCTATGGAGATTGTTTACCTTGAATGATTACAAAAAGGGTAAAGTGGAGGCATTTGCTTGGTATGCACATATTACAAAAAGCCTGGTCAAATATCAGTTCTGATATTGTCAATGAAATACTGTGAACCATCACGAATAATAAAGAAATACTCAAGACGCGTCTGTTTTCTATACAATCCAAAACGTTTCTTCACAATAATTTGCGACATTGGTCTGACCATAAAGAATAAAACAGTCAATCTTTTTTTACCAATTTACTTATATTGAATGTGATCAGCCCCAGTCAATTAGTGACTAACAAACTCAATATTAAATCCTTGCATAAGTTCTCTCGAATAATGTTATGTATGGTGCTAGTGTTCTACCTTATTATGGCCAACTTCACTACTCGGCAGTTCGTCCTTTATTACTTTATGATTGCAAAACAGGTACATTTGACTAAAGGGTTTAGTGACAACCAAACCAAATCTGACTGTTGAATCGTATCAAGAAATGCAATTATTTTTATTGGGACTCGTAATATGGTCATAACCATTTTTGGAGGCTTTGGGCAACAGCCCAGATGTATTCAACATTTATTTTTCTCCGGATCTTCGATGTAATTATTATTTTATACTTGTTGTTTCTTGACCACGTTCATTGTGGAAGCTGGTATTGGTTTTCTGGCATCAACTGTCAGTGCTAGGCGAAGAAAAGGGCCAATCGGGACTCTAGGCTATTCGTATATGTGTATGCATCATTAGTTGGTTTTATAGGTCAGCGTACCTTAACTGGCAATCGAATTTCGCGATAATCGTATAAGCCAAGGACATAACAAATACCATACCTTTAATAACAGTAAAACATTTCTCAGCACAAGATGTGAAATATCAACAGTGTCTAGTTTCAGTAAAAAATTTTACCCAACTTTGTTCATTCTAACTAGATCGATTATTTTTTTAAAGGAGAGACCACAAGGAAACTACGTCAACAATAGTGACAGTTCGGTTAGAATTTAACAATGATTAGCTTGTGTTAATGTGTAGGCTTGTTATTAAGGCGCATAAGTGCATGTGGTTAGCATATGTAAAAACAAATCTAACATAAGAAACTTTATTGAGATATTTCAACATGTGAAGAGTATATGGCTGAGAAACTTCAGCTGGTTACCATGCTACTTTATGATGACAGTTTTCTATTAGTGTTGATACATGACACAAGCTTTAAGCAATAAAATTAGCCACCATAATATTATACTTGGAACCGAAAACTGTTCAGTCATTAGGGAACATCTAGTCTATCAGTGGACAAACACGATAACATATGAGATCGAACGCAGCGTAAACATTTTTATGTACCTTTAGATTACTGGATTCATAGTATTAATTTTAGTCAATTCTTAATGTAACATGATCGTCAATTAGAGACAGAAAGGTTATATGACTGATATAAAGCTAGGAACCAGCACAGTAGAAATTCTTATCTAACAAAAAACAAGTTCAATGCTGAATAAAACAAAAGCAACCAAGTATCTAATCTTACAGTACACTACGCTGAATACATAGAAACACTAGTATGTAACTATTTTTTTAAATAACAAAATAGGTGATCATACAGACTTAGTGGAGAATGCAATCGATATGATAGACATACAAATACAAAGACAGAGAAACAGAAAACACAACGGCCAAGTCAATATAGAATGACAATCAATTATTTCATATATGCATACATCTAGATCTATAGTCAGTCGTTTTAATTGCTTTGTGAACTATACTAAGAATTGTGATTAACCAAATATGTAGAACCATAAAACAATATGATGTTGCGCAGACGCACAAATACTAACATTATTTGTTCACAAATTCATGAGAAGGTATTGTTACTACCACAGATAAACATAATCATGCAAACACACACAGAGAAAACACGACGAAATTGATACAAAACTACTTTTTTTTCATATAATTTAACAAAGTTGTATATTTTCAATCAGCATCGTATTTTCAAATAAATACAAATATTTTACAATTAAAAAAGTGGGCCATGTTTGTAAACAATAATACTGACAAAAACAATAAGAATTAATTGTTTAACTGATACATTTTATAAAACTTATGAAGTGTTTATGTGTGTTCAATACGTTAATTGATGCTGTAATTGACCAGAAATATATTCTTAAGTAACAAAAGCGTTTACTACTGCCGGCATATTATATGATACGCATACAAGCGTCTTAGTAACAAAATCATCTATATACATACATACTTTGATTGAATGAAAGTTTGGGCAAGTTAGGTTCAAACTTTAAATTCACAATAACAATATTCTTGATTGATGAATGAATACAAAGATTATTTATTATTCCAGTTTAGCTTATTCACAGAGTGAAAATAAAATGCAATAATTGTCAATATTGGCTTGTTGAGATTGTTGAATTTCATTGAAATCATGAACCAGGTTTCAATAGCTGTCTACCTTAGACCGGTTCGTGATTTCGACAAAAACATAATAAGGTCGAATATTAATATTGCTTAATAGATAAATTACTGAATGAATAAAAACAGCCTACTCTTATTTCAATATGATTATACGGATGTCACTGACACATAACCAATATCATTGACTATCTAGTATTTGAGGCTGATCGAATTCTGTCGACCAAAGTCCTCCATTCGACTAGGTCACGGTATATCTTCTTTGGTGTAAAATTATGGACAGATACTGACAATCAATTTCACAACATTAAATGATTTAATATATAGTGATTAGTTAGAATAGACATCATAGTTCGACAGTTCTTAAAAGTAACATTCATAAATACAGCAATCCGAATTGCATGTGAATTACAACTTTCATCACGATTATAATATATATCAACCGACCTAGACTTAGAGATACAGTTCACTTCTATTAAAATAACCATGAGTTACGCTGAAACAAAATGAAGCATTCACTATATTGTATTTGTTCGGAATCATAAGTCAGTCAGCTACATCGTAGGACCATGCACATACATGGATCGGTCCAGGTTGCCATACCTCATTAGCACAGCAAGATGAACACCGGATTCATAGGAGTGGTTAGGTCAAAGGTGGTAATATATAAAAGAAAGATTGCATATAAGGACACAGTACAGGAAGAAAGAATTAGTTAGTAGAAAGAAAGATATGAAGCAATTTTAATCTCTTAGTTTAAGGGAAGATAGGGAGTGTATACACCTACGCCATTGTGATCTATTCTGAGCCATGTCACCAAGTCTCCAACCATTGGTTACGATAGTCACGCGGACCCCAACCAAGTAGTCTGCATCTACCAACATGGCTCAGACTAGAGGTTAGTGTCTTCAAGCACTGATGCCACGTTTTGGTTTGGCCGCCTCTAACTTTCTTCCAACCATCTCCAACACCCGTTAGCATTGCACGTCGTGGTAATCGGTGTTCGGGCATACGTAACACGTGGCCCAACCATCTCAGTCGATGAAGATTCACAACCTCATCAACTGATTTACCATCATTACCTAATACCCTGCGTCTAACCACACTATTACTTACCCGGTGATCCCAGCAGACTCCAGCAATATTTCTGAGGCATCTGTGGTCAAATACTAGTAGCTTACGAGTGTCTTCTCTTAATGGCCATGTTTCGCTGCCGTAAAGTAAAACAGAACGGACTGCCGCGCAGTATACTCGTCCTTTTATTGATAGACCGATATCTCGCCTTCGCCAAAGGTGACGTAAGTTGGCAAAAGCCAAACGAACTTTTCGAATCCAAGCTGAGATTTCGTCAGACACTAACCTATTAGGTCTGATCAGACTTTCAAGATAAGTGAAGTTGTCAACGCGTTCGACTACTTCACTCCCTATCCTTAGTTCAGTTGTTGACGCAGGTCAGTCCTGAAGCAACAGCTTTCATTTAGAGGGAGAGAAGCCCATTCTAAACATTTTGGCATTGTTGCTCAGTGCTATCAAAAGACTCTGCATTTTATCAGCATCTTCACCAAACAGGACTATGTCATCCGCGTATTCTAAGTCGATAAGTGGACCTCCCGGTAGGAGATCAATACCCGAGAATTCAGTCGATGAGAATGTTATTCCCATCAGTAGGTCTATGATGAAGTTAAACAAAAACGGAGAAAGTGGACAGCCTTGACGGACACCACTTGAAGTTGCAAAAGTAGATGACAGTTCGCCATAAGCTCTGACTCGACTAGTAGTGTTCGAGTAAAGAGCCTTTACAGGGTTTATTTACTTCTGGGGTATGCCTTTCAATGACAGACACTGTCACAGAATCTCGTGGTCTACCGAGTCAAATGCTGCTTTCAAGTCAAGAAAGACCACCATTGTCGGACGCCGATAAGTATGCTTGTGTTCTAGAATCTGACGAATGGTGAATATGTGGTCGATGCAGCCACGACCAGGTCTGAAGCCAGCTTGAGTCTCTCGTGTTTGCAGTTCACGAGTCTTAGTTAGGCGTCTGATAATTATCGAGGCTAGTATTTTAGATATTATATTAGTTAAACTAATTCCTCTGTGGTTGTCACAAGATGATTTTGACCCTTTCTTATATATTGGGACGATAAGTGATTGCGACCAGTCAGATGGAATAACGTCTAACTCCCAGATCTTAGCTAAAATATTAGTCAACCTAATCGCTAAAATTGCACCACCATCTTTAAAGACTTCTGGAGCCAATCCATCTGGACCAGCTGCCCTTCCTCGTTTCAGATTAACTATAGCCTTTTGAACTTCAGCAAGAGTTGGGGGACCTACTTCAATGTTCCATTCACATTGTCTGGGAATGGAGGGTAGTTGTAGAGTAGCTGAAGGCCAGTTGAACTGTTCTCTAAAATATTCCGCCCATCGTTCTAAACGTCTGGACTGGGAGCAGATGAGAGTATCATCTTTTTCCGAAATAATCTCACTTACACTCGACTTATTAGTTCCGGTTTCTTTTATTAGTCTGTAAAGCTGTCTTGTGTTCCCTATATATATTCAAGTGAAGGATAACTTATCAGTAAGAAATTAGAAAATTATAAAAAATACTCATTACTGATGGACTACGGACACTGATAACTTAGTGTTTTTAATTATCGATCGTCTTACTGGAAATAATAAATGGCCTGTAACTAAAAATTAACTTAGTTACCCCTCAATGTGATAAGATAAAAAACAAAGTGATTTCCCTATCACATTCATACATATTTTCAGTTCTTGATAAACCATAAACAAAGCTATTGCATAATGTAGACAAAATTAAATGTTTGCACAAACGGAAATAGAAACTTTTACTACGACAGATAGAAATTCATTCATTTATATAGCATGGAGGAAAAATGCTTACTATTCACTTATGAAATACATAACATTCTGCTTAACTTCACTTGGTGTTTTTTTACTTATATCTTCCCATTGTTATTTAGGATTGCAATTCATCAGTCTGTTGTTGGCATATGTGCATCCTGTGCGGATTGCCTCGATATGGCCTTGAGTCACAATCTTTTTAAACCAAGATGGATAGTGGCCAGCAGTGGAATCTAGGAAGCGCGTTTCGTCCTATTTGAAACTCGTCGGCTGGATGTACATGCATCCCAGAGGTGACGTTTACTACGGAACTCGGACCCAGTAGCGTTTGCTTCAAATGCCATCCCGTTATCCACTTAGTTAATGAGTCCTGAGAGCCACCTGCTATCAGGTACTGGGTTTGAGTCCTGGAGTGAGCATCAACTTTGGGATGCAGCTGACGGATCGCAAATAGGAAGGAACGCGTCCAGGATTCCACTGCTCACCACTATCTATTAATTCTGCTTAACTGTTCCAAATTAACCTTAATTAATAAACAGTAACAATGAACACATTCAATTTTCAGGTATCATTATTTACAAGATCAGTGTCACCTGTATATAAATGTGCGTATAAATTAAAGTACACTTTTACTGTATACGCATATATTACAAAATATTTATTGAGTATAGAACGTCCTGTTATCAGTTATATAGAAATTAGATGAACTAACACCTATAAGTACATGCATTAATAAGAGTTTCAAATTATATTAATTTTTATTACCAAAATTGGAAAAAAATATGTAAATGACAAATTTATGAAACAGATGAAATAGCCTACTCTCCGTTACTGGATTAGACGTTTGAACCCTATTCTATCCACATATATTCTAGGCAGAGAGTATGAAAACAGTGCCGCCCAAATTCAAGTACATAGGACTCTGTTTCAGTAACTCAGTTGCAATAAGAAACAGTGAATGAATAATTAGAACTTGCATGGTACCTTACATTGAGTACAGATTACATACTGATGAAAAATTAGTTTCAATTACCTGTAACTAATTAATGAAAGAGAAGCTTTTTAAACTCAGAGTTGATTTACACTTCACATGTAAGGGTCAGTGGTATAACAGTGTGGATTGTTAAAACAACAGAAACAGATTCTCAATGAAAACACACGAGTCAACAACAAGTACGAATGATTCCCAAGTCAGTACCTTGTATCCTATTAAAGCATATAAATATCCGAAGATGATATCTGGTCTATAACTGCAATAAATTTTAACCTAAAAACTATAAATACTCCAGTAATATTATTCGGATTGTGTATGCTACTTATGTCGACAGATATATGGAGGTAAACTTGAAAGAAACAGAAACGGAATTAGAAAGGAATTATGAACTGAAAGAAGCATATAGAATGTCAAGGAAAATGATGAAAAATAGTAAATGGAGTATTTAATGCATGGTTCTTATATTTTATCAAGAGAATCTATAATTTTGTATCAAAATGGATTTAGTTGTCCCACCTGTCTGTTCATTCACTGCAAGATCATGTATCAAGTCTCAAAATCTATAGTAGGAAATATTTAACCTTATCGATCAAAACCTTGGAATGATGATTTCTAATTTACTGACGTCACCTCGATTACCTTAACGCGAAGTGGTTGAAAGAGGCTTCAAATATGAGTCTGGATGATTAAGCGGCTAGTACTTTAACTGCTAAGTTACTGAACAGTAGAGAGAAGAGACAATGAAACACAAGAAAGCGATTGTATTGTTTGTGATGATTAAATCAGAAACACAGTGACGTAATATTTCGCCGAGACATTTTCCGATGTAGTCGGTGATATAGTCATACCTGAATTCATCCCTTAAATGCCCTGGTACGGCCGAGAGTGAGGAGGGTCCGCTCTCCCTCTCGAAATGCTCTCACATGGTCACGTGTATAAAGCCACTGACAGGGAAGTCCTACTCATTCCCTTCTCGTGATGTGGGTGTTGTTTACGAAATTGAGAGGACGAAAAGTGAATGTCCGGCACTTTAACCGGGTTGGTGAATATGGAGGATCCAACTAGGGGAGTTACAATACCCTGATTCTAAACCAATGGTGAACACGGGCTCCAGGATCCTGAAGGAACAAATGGTTTATGAACCAATCGTTGGTCCCTGGCTACCATTGGACTGTATCCCTTACGTTGCTCCACTGCCTTGTTGATTAGACCTTTAGGTCGAAGGCTCGGGGTGTGACCCCTTAAGGAGACCACCTGCTTCGGTCTGGGCACTTGGGCAGTATCCCAGACCCCACATTAATCGAATGATTTATGTGGCGCATATCTATTTTTACTTTCTTGTATCAATGTTTACGTGTTTAAATAAATAAATCAGCTAAAATTAAGAAAAAACATGCTTCACACGAAATGAAAACATACAATTCAGTTTTCAACAACTGAGCTATTCAAAGGCCATCTGGATGATTTTAACACGTAAACAAAATATGGATGCAAGCTAATCACAAAGGAGGTTAGTCACTTAGTCAGAGCAGAGTACAACCAGCTACTTACATGCATCGGTTCAAGTTGCCACATCGACATCGTCAACCTATGGTTACCTTAATCGTGAGGACACTAACCAGGTAGTCTGCATCTAGCAATACCGATCAGTTAAACAGTAAATGACTTTATGGACTGATGCCACATCTTGGTTTGACCACACTCAACTTTTTTAAAATCCACTCCTGAAATACGGATGGTTGACATTATTTCAATTTTATAAGTCTGTTAAATAAAGTGCTAGGACAAAGCGTTAACAAATAGATACTATGAATTCTTCATCAACCAATAATAATAAATACTTACGACTGCTTTCACGACATAGCATTGTTCCATCTAAACATGTTGAATTCATACGTGCACCAGGAGCCGAGTTCACAATACTGGAATTTTTATCATCAACAGTACCATAACACACTGATTGATTAGTAAAATGTTCATTACCGCTTACACGTGGATAATTGGTACCATCGATAAGTGGATCAGGAGATTTGCCATCATATAATCGTAAATAAATCGGATTATAGGGAATTGACAAAACTGTAGTATCATAACCAGCATTTACTAGTGATTCAGTTATTTTATCTGATGAAAACAATAGATCATCATTTATTTCAAATTCAGTTGGATAACTGTTTGAAAACAAACAAACGACGGAGACATTAATTATTACCACTATTAATCATAAGAGAGAATACACAGATAATAACTTTGATAGATGCCACGACAAAAAGATTTTAAGTTGAAAACAATTGTGACTTGGGTGGCGAACCACATTGACAATGATGAGGTAGTAAATAACTGATGACAAAAAGTGAAAATAGCACTATAGTTAATTAAAAAAACAGAAACCATTGGATAATTACTCACGGTATCGTGGTCATCATTAGAAATGAGGGTTACGAGTTCTATCGTGAGTGAATTAATGTATGCATAATGCTAACCAATGCTGGTGTAGGAGTAGATTTTAAAAACGTTGAGTGTGGTCAAACCAAGATGTGGCATCAGTCCATAAAGTCATTTACTGTTTAACTGATCTGTATTGCTAGATGCAGACTACCTGGTTAGTGCCCTCACGATTATGGTAACCATAGGTTGACGATGTCGATTGACATGTCCGAGAATCGGTAACAATAACGCAGATGCATACATCCTTTCTCTTTCATTAGATCCTTGACGTCGAAGGAATCTTATACTTTTTATTCAATGAATTCATTACATCTAAAATAATCTTGTCCATGCCAAGTTGATTCTACCAGTATTGATATTAGTATTACTTTTACTACTGTGATATATTACCTTGTTGTGCTAATGTAGTGTGGCAACTTGAACCGACGCATGTAAGTAGCTGGTTGTACTCTGCTCTGACTAATTAACTTATTTCACCAATACCAAGACAATGTTTCATTAAAAAATAGTATCAGCTGAAGATTTATGAAAAATCATGGTGGAATTAATGTTTTGGTCGAGGTTTTTTGTATATAAATGACAGTTTTTATTTTCCTCAATATAGATTTAACTTTTATTTTGGCTTTCTATCTTTAAAAAAAAAACTTTAAGGTTCAGAACTCGTGATTATGTGAGTAAATTATGCCCAATTATGTCCATTTCATCAACAAATTGTGACATCATAGCATGAAACATATCTAAACTTGTAGTGCCGACGTTGTTGTTAAATTATTCAGTTTTATATCAGTAGATCATAGAATCAAACCTCGCTCCATCTGCTACTTTATTGAGAGTAGTCGGGTACAAAGAATGTCCAGTGAACAATTATTTGATTGGATTTTTTTATTTGGTCCAGTTAATTAGAAATCTACTGTCTTTAGTCTTCCGATTGTACAATATCAGCATGTGTTTGCCATAGATTTTAAAAGAAAAACTCATTAACTAGGTACAGATTCGTGTAACTGGCTATTGATACTACCCGTCGTTCTAACGAAATTATTCGGAACAGGGTTTAAATTTGAGACTTAATGGTTGGAAGTCAAAACCTTAGCTACTGAAACATTACTCATCAGCGACTGATAACAGTTTTGCAGTAAATATTATCTGCATATAGTTAATTGACATAGACGAATTGAAGAAAAACAAAAATTGATAAATAACATACGTGAAGTATCAAAATAAAAATTACCTATCCACAGTATTTGTTCGATTAAATGCAACAGAAGGCAGTAACCACGGTGCTATGTCTCTTCGACGTTGAATAACCTATTTAAAGTGGAAGAAAATAAGCCAAGTAAGAAATCCGACAAAAATATAGTGGAAAAATCCTTGAAGTTCATAATACATAAATGCGATTACTGGGGACTTGTCAAATTTGAAGATCATGAATTAACATCTGCTAAGGTGCCACTGAAATATAGAGAGCAGTAAATATATATGTTTCGCTTCTATTTTAAAACATTTCATATGATCCCACTTCAGATTGCCCTCAAGATTTCCACGTGTCCTGAAGATCTAACGAGAAGACAAAATCAGTGTCACGAACCGCATCGGAAGTGAAGTGAACTCCCGTTAATTATAGTAAATTATGATCGTGTAATTATGCAAACTAAAGACGCTTTATGAAATTCAAGCGTTGAAGACAGAAATCTGAATGTAGAAGTAGCATATTCAAAATCTAAATAAGCCTAATTTCTCATGATTTTTCCTACTCAACAATATGTTATTCTTAATAACTTCATTGTTCTCATTTCCTCACCAACTAGATATTCGCCAAGTGGACAATCAGCTTCCATATATTTAAACGGTCAACTACTCACTAACTTTATCTATTACACAACCTTCTGGTAACATTGGAAATTTCTAAACACTTTGTGATGAAGCCACCTTTTATTTATCAATAGACTGACAAACATTTTCTACATAGTCATAAAGACAATTGTATAGCTCCAGTAAATGATATTGTCAAAAAAAATGATAAATTTGATTCGCCAAATTATTTGTAATCATTTTTCAGTTAGATTCACTTGGTATTGTTTTGCTTGTATCTTCCCATTGGGGTTTTAAGACTGCAATTGATCAGTCTGTTATTGGTATATGTGCATACTGTGCGTATGCCTCGATATTGCCTTAATTCACAAGCTTTTTTAATTAGTGTTAGGTTCATCGCATATTAGGATTGTATCAAGCTTACCAAAAATACATAAAAACCATGGATACAACTCCTATATAAGATAGCAGGAAGGAGCAACTAATGGCTTCCGAATGAAAACAAAATAGTTGCCTAGTTCTTAAAAGCGTTCAATGGTTCCCTAAATGATATGAGCTTTTGGTGACGTATTTATAGAATATAACAGAGATCAGTGATAACAACATTAAACTGAGGATATAGACCCGAGAACACCGTCAATATATTTTCTTTCATCGTATTCACTATTATATATATATATATATATATATATATATATATATATATTGATATACTACTATGAAAAATAACCAAAAGTCACTTACAGTATAAATATGTTCACTAAGTGATTGAAGATTAATCAACTGAACAAGTAGTGTTATTGTACTAGCTAATAATGCATGTAAAGCACAGCGATGTGTTAACGGCATATAAGTATTTTCATCAATGATTTTTGTTTGAACTGCCAAGATTAAACGAAACAATTCTGTAATAACCTGATGAAAAAAATGTGACAGAAAGAATTGGTTTATTAAATAAAAATAAATCAAACAAACGAGAGTGAAGTAAAACGTTTTGTGAAGAAACATACACTTGATAAGTTTTGTATCATCTACTATTCCACGATTCACAACTTCGATACAATTATAAAACAAAACATAAGTTAAAAACCATAATCTCGCATCCAACCGTTGAAAAAACAAAAATAACACTCAGAAATCCTATTGCAGATAAGATGTAAGCTGATTAATAAATTACGAAACGTGAGGGTATATAAAGGAATCCAATTCAGATACCTTTGAGAATAGACGAGTAAGAACGCAGGTATCAGGGCGTCAAACTCAAACTTACAGGTGTAGTTCCTAATTCAAAAAAAAAATTTTAAGTGTTTTTATGGCTAGTTCTAACTGAAATTCTAAGAAACTGGATTTTCGAACACTGAATATTAAGGAAGGAAAATAAAACGTTCCCAGAAAATCTAATTCACATTACATAGATTTGCTAGCATTGATAGAATGATTAATTACAGTAGTTGTGATGATAACGCAATAGGATTGATTTCAATTGAAACTTAATATCAACAATCATACTAATAAAACGGGATATTAAACGAGGAAGCCGACCTGTATTATAATATGTGAGTCAGAAGAATTCAGAACGGAAGTTTCAGATTACGTGAAACGCAAAACGCAATGTCCTAACCACTAGACCACAGCGACTTATGTCCCCAAATGCCCTGGTACGGCCGAGAGTGGGGAGAGTCCGCTCTCCCTCTCGAAATGCTCTCACATGGCCGTGAGTATATAGCTTTTGCCAGGGAAGTGCTACTCACTGCCTTCTCGTGGCGGGGGTGTTGTCTACGAAAATGAGAGGATGAAAAGTGAATGTCCGGCACTTTAACCGGGTTGGTGAATATGGAGGATCCAACTAGGGGAGTTACAATACCCTGATTCTAAACCAATGGTGAACACGGGCTCTAGGATCCTGAAGGAACAAATGGTTTATGAACCAATCGTTGGTCACCGGCTACCATGGGACTGTATCTTCTTACGTTGCTCCACTGCCTTGTTGACTAGACCTTCGGGTCGAAGGCCCCGAGTGTGACCCCTTAAGGAGACCACCTGCTTCGGTCTGGGCACCCGGGCAGTATCACAGCCCTTACAAATATCAAATGGGAATTGTGTGTCACATATGTATTTGGTGCCTCCTTGTACTAATATCTACGTGGTAAAATAAATAAATAAATAAACGTGAAACACATCAATTGTAGGCATTCGCTGTAAGTGGTATGTAGAATAACTAAAAAATTTGACGAACTGAATAATATATGAAACGCTTACTAAGCCGTGTGACCCTGATTTAACTAATCATTCTTAATTTGAAGATGTGTGAATTGCCAATCGATAACAGATTGTCATTTATCGTACACACACAATCGTAATTGTTACCTTGTTCATTTAACAAGTCATGTAATACTTTTCAGTGTATATGCACGTGTACGTGCATGGTTTTGGTAAACAATTGGTTCAATAATCTTACTTTCAATTATTATACTACCACTTAAAAACTCAGAAACAGATAGCATCGTAAACTACTCCGTGTTCAAAGTGGTGTTTACATATTGACAAAAAGTCAATAACTGAGCGTAATCATTATTGTGTGTAATATTAACTGGATTCAATCAGATATCTTTAGTTAGGAAAGATTAAAGTACACATATACGATGTTAAATCACAACGAACTCATCAGCATTTACAGTAAGCTGAATCCATGTACACCAGTAGACAATAAGTCTCCATAGAAAATTAATTAATGTCGTCGAAACATAAAGACAAAATAAATTTTTAAAACGGTAAAAAACATTTTAAAACTAGATAGATTAAAAATTATTAAGAGTTTCAGGTACACGAAGATTGCTGAATTAATAATGCGCTGACTGTAAAACAATATCATGAGTTGATTTATGTTTGAAATATGAATCACTGGATTTTCGACTCAATGTTTTAAAAGTATGCTGCCAACCGCGAGAATTGGAGGTTTTACGCTCCACCTTATGTTTGGTTATACATATGTGATGACGAAGAATCACAACATAGACAGTTGTATAACGATACACCTTAATTTCCATTCAATTATGAAAATAAACTTTGGGACAAAAAACTATCCAGTCAAAACAATTTATTGTCTATAATATGAGAGTGGTAACAACTGAATAATGATTTTTTACGTCTATTATGATAATAAGTCGTATTTAAATCTATAAAACAGTGTAACTGTCTATAAGATACCTACTGTACTTCAATAGAATATTAAAAAAGGATAAAATACATTTAATCTTTTTTGTACTTAGGATAGCATACAGGGTAAAATGGTTAACTAAATCCCATGTAAAGAAAAATTACAACAACTAACCTGTTCTGCACCCATTTCTAATGCAACCAACCCAACAGTGCATGACAGATATTCTAAATTGTCTACTTTGTTACTAGGATCTAATAACTGATGATAGATATTTTCAATGAATAACACACCAGTCTGTGATAAGAAGGCAAAAGAAAGAAAGAAATTTAGATGTTACTGTCATCAACATCAATTAAATATATTGATCGTTTAGAGGTAGATGATGCGTCGGAGGATTATATATACCAGAACCATATATATATATATATATATATATATATATATATATATATATATATATATATATATATATATATATATCGAACAATAAATAACACTAAACATAAAGTATGCCATTGTGATAAAGAGGGTTCAACTTTATGTATACACTCCGCCCTATTTGATTGTTTGGATATTTGTCTCATGACAAAAATAATTAATTTGGACAGGTCAAACATTTTAGGTTTTCTTCGTCAAACAACAAATGTCGTTTATGAGCTTTAGTTGAAATTTTAGGAAAACCCTTCGTCATTCAGCAGACACTGATTACTAATACTGATTGACAAGATAGGTTTGTGACCTGTTATTACCCTGAGATTGGTAGATTGTAGATACTCATTAGTTGTAATTTCCTACTAGCATAAAATCTACTTCTTTAGTTTCACCATGTCGATCGCCTCATACCTAATAAGTCGAACATAATATGCATCGCGATGCCCAGTCACTCGGACCAGTATGATCACATTTCAATTTGATGGATAGAATTAGATGGAGATTACGAGACAAACAACTAAACATCTAAACAACTGTTAAATATAACAGAAAGCAATCGCATATTTGCTTTAATGGCAAATTCATCCATAGTGATGAAAAAATACTTTAAAAGTAAAACTGGCTGCAGAGATGAAGCATTGGAATATACGTAATCATAATATATAAAATATAATTCATAAACCGAGTACAGAATTATATACTCGGCTTTGAGTCACACTTCAGGTGCGAAGTCTATATAATCCGACTACATAAAACCGATTAGGTGGTATGAAGTTTCAACGTGTTGTCTAATGGTTGAATGTAGAGAATTCTTTAATCACCAAGGCATGGCTCAATAAGTTCCAATTAAATGATTGAAGTATAAGCTAACTTACCTACTTTGAACATTATTTTAGTAGTACAAACGGTTGCAAAAACTTCAAATTAAAGGAAAACAGTGATGGATACTTCTTTAACGTGGTAAGATTACATTCATTTCACTACATTGTCGTTTATTTCGATCCTTTCTCATATTCCAATCATATCATTTTCATTTCTTTCCGATTCATAATTTTAATTTTAATTGGCCGAGTTCAACTGATGTTATTCCGTACTACCATTATTCTGTGTTTAGTTGCTTCAATACGTAGTTGGGTAAAACCTAGTAGCCTTATGAATTTATCTACCATTTTAATGTTCTGGAATTTTCCAGCTTATATTTTTTTTATCTGAATCACTTTTTCCTGACCATATTAACTTTCTGGTTGCTTCGCTCTGTCGTGATGATACATATTAAGTTCTAATCAAATTTGGCTGCATAACTATGTAAACCTATGATAATTTTGATTTAGAAATACTATAGGTTGTAAGTGGCTGATGAGTTCCTAACAAAATCAAATGAATTCATGTTATTCTGATCGAATCTTTGTTTTTCCTTTCATTAAAAGGATAGATACTTATATATGAGTTATAGGTATATTTTCAGCTCGGTTAGCAAAAAAAGCTTTCTACTTATTGTTAGATTTCTCAATCAAGTAGTTGCACTGAGTACTCATATAAAAAACGTATTCATCAGTAGTAAACTCGAACGACGGCATAACATAACTGTTAACACCATAGAAAAACAACATATTAAGTGAATGTGCTGTGTTCAACGGTCCGATTCACATATTATAACATACCTAATCCCAGTTAACCACCTATTAAGAAACAGGAGATAAAGTGAATCCCAAAGCCCAATAGCAATCTTTACATATCAAGGATATTCACGGTTTGTCAAACTAATAGGAAAATTTTGGTAGCCATCTTGGCTATTAATCAGCCCTCATTGTCAACTCATTTTTCATATGACCTTGATATAAAATATTATTTGTCCAACTTTATCCAATTTAGCAAACATTAAATTTGGATAGGTGTTAAAATTTTTTGATCTATGACAACTCTTCTGAATGTTTCACATGCATATTTCTATGTAATTAAGGACGTTGGGTGAATGGATAATTGAGAAAATCAATAAAACCATGATAATTACTTTTACAGTATACTTTTTGAACCTAGACAATGATTCTCTCTAATGGACATTTTAGTATACGATATTCCTCAATGAGTTTTGTCACATATTTCATTTCCATAATTTTTATGAAACGGAAAAAGAATTGTATTTTCTAGATGATCAGATCAACTTGTAAATTAAGAGGATGATTTCAACAAAAATATACCATCTGTTGTGAAGCTTTCAAAGTTTTTCCACAGAATGTTAATCAGAACAATGTAAATCTCGTGATATATATATAGTAAGAAAACAACGTTTAAACAAACATTTATAAAACAACCTAATCTTTAAATAAAGAAAAACGTTTACCTTTTTCATGAATAAAATATCTTGTCTTTCTGGCTTCTCCAAAATGAAATAACTGCTTAATCCATTCTCACCGTAAATACTAAAGCAATAATAAAACACGTAGGAAACAGAAGTAAGAAGAGACAAAAGGGTGTTGCAGATAAAATCAATAAGTAATTTTACTGTGCCTTTCAAAATACAAATTTTCAAAATTTTATTTCGCTGGAAAATAATAAATACATATGTAAATGATGGAAATAGATGTAATTTAAAATCACGAAGAGGATCCAAGTGACCCGGTAGTCTTGAATTTGCTTGTAATTCGATTACTTACTTACGCCTGTTACTCCTCGTGAAGAAGCATAGGCCGCTCACCAGCATTCTCCATCCAACGCTGTCCTGGGCAATCCTTTCCAGTTGTTATCCATCCTTTTCATACCTGCTTCTATTCTCCGACGTCATGTATTCTTTGACCTTCCTCTTTTCCGCTTCCCCTCAGGATTCCAAGTTAGGGCTTGCCTCGTGATGCACTTTGACGATTTGCGCAATGTATGTCCTATCCATTTCCATCGTCTTTTCATAATTTCTTCTTCAGCTGGAAGCTGGTTTGTTCTCACCCACAGAAGGCTGATGCTGATGGTATCCTGCCAATCGATGTTGAGTATCTTGCGTAGACAACCATTTATAAATACTTTCACCTTTTTGATGGTGGTTGTTGTAGTTCTCCAAGTTTCAGCTCCATACAGTAGAACTGCCTTGACATTCCTATTGAAGATTCTCACTTTGATATTGGTTGAAAGTTGTTTTGAGTTCCATATGTTCTTCAACTGTAGGAATGCTGTATTTGCCTTGCCAATCCTCGCCTTTACGTCTGCATCTGAACCTCCTTGTTCATCGATGATGTTTCCCAGGTATGTGAAGGATTCTACATCTTCCAGAGTTTCGCCACCAAGAGTGATTGGATTGCTGTTCTCCGCTTTGAATTTGAGGACCTTGGTTTTCCCTTTGTGTATGTTGAGGCCTACTGATGCAGGGACTGCAGCTACATTGGCTGTCTATATCTGCATTTGTTCGTATGTATGCGATAGGAGGGTTAGTTTCCTCGTTGTATCGTAAAGCTGTTTCATATTTCCATCTCTTGCAGCTTTTTCCGCCGTCGTTGCTAGTCCTTCCACATATTTCTTCTTGTCGGCTCTAATGCTCTTCTTCACTTGCTTGCTTGCTTCTATGTATTCAGCTTGTGCTTGGACTTTCTCTGTTCGTGTTCGGCTGTTGTTTATTGCTGCCTTCTTGTTCTTCCTTTCTTTGATCTTGTCCAGTGTTTCTATAGAGAACCATTCCTTATGATGGTGCTTCTTTAGGCCCAGAATCTCCTGACACGTTGAAGTTAATGCTTCTTTGATACCTTTCCAGTTTTCCTCTATAGTAGTTTCTTCTTCTTTCAGTATATCCTGTAAGGCTTGGAACCTGTTGTTGAGAGCTATCTTGAATTCATTAAGTTTGTCAGTATCTCGAAGGAAAGCTGTATGGAACCTTTGTATTGCTGTTTGTCCACTTGTCCAGTTCTTTTTTAGCTTCAGTTTTAAATTGGCTACAACTAGGTGGTGATCTGAAGCTACGTCAGCACCTCTCCTGGTTCTCACATCTTCCATTGTCCTTCGGAATTTTTTGTTGATGCAAATATGATCTATTTGGTTCTCTGTAGTGTGGTCCGGTGAGATCCATGTAGCTTTGTGTATACGCTTGTGTGGAAATATTGTGCTGCCTATGACCAATTTGTTGAATGCACACAAATTTGCAAATCTTTCTCCATTTTCGTTTCTCTGTCCCAGTCCATGTCGTCCCATAATATCTTCATATCCGGTGTTGTCCATTCCGACTTTGGCATTTAGATCTCCCATCAGAATGGTGAGGTCCTTTCTTGGGCACGTCTCTATGATTGATTGCACCCTGCTTCTTTACCCGGGCTTGGGACCGGCAGTAACTCTAGAAGAGCTACAGGTGGTTAACTGATACTGTTCTGAGAATGAATGATATCGAAAATTTTAATCGCTGAACCAATTCCAGTTTTGTAAATTTTCTGTGACAAAATTAATTATCCTGTGTAAAAAATATTATTCTGAACAGGGAGCGTTATTATCCCGTTTGTTCAACGTTAAACAGAAAAGTTTCTCTACGTTGCCTAAAAAGTTTGATGCAGTTACATTGATTGTGATATGGATTGTATTGGTTACGTGGTGAAATGATGTGGTGTGAAATTAAGTTATTATGGATAAGGTTCTTTATCCTCGAACAGTAAATCGATTTTGGACAACGGTGATTTACATCAGTTGTCACAGACAAATACACAATGAAAATCTATACAATAAATATGGTGTTGCTACTTATATTGACAGACATAAGCAGTATGTAGCACCATACGGAAGTGGAATGCCATGTCAGCAGAAAATTGAATTGAAGAGAACAGGAAAGGAAATAGAAAGCAACTGTAATAACAACAAAATTGAAAAATCATGAGGCATGTAAAGGACAATTGAAGGAAGATGAACAAATAAATTGTTTAATGTATGGTTTTCATGATTTACGAAGGCACTCTGTAATTTTGCATTAAACAATAAATTGGTTTTTTCCAACGGTCTTCGTTCATTACATATATACTTGCTAATGGTAATTAGTGTAGCTTGTTAAATGAGCATAGCACTTCGCATCTACTTATCAATCAAGCTTTACCAATGAGAGCTAGTGATGTTACCAAGAGCCAATCAAAAAATAAAGTGGGTGAGAAGTATTCTGTACAGGCGATCTAGTTCCTAAAAGTTGGATACCTTATAGCAAGCAAAGACGATCGTAACTGTTGGAACGACTATTCACTAACGTTGATAAATTAACAGTACTTGCTAATAAAGAACTTAAGAAAGAAGGAAATGGTGTGAACTACAAACGAGAACAACGTGAGATAATATAGATGTTGTTTTATGTAGTTGAAAGATATACGAATTAATAAATCATGATAACGAATAAAAAATAGACAAACACCATCAACATATAGCGTGGCTCAGAGGTTCTTTGGAACATATTACAAACCCCATTAAAACAGCGATATAAAAATAATGAAAGGAAACGAAATAATGTGACAAAAAGGAAGACTAAATATTGAGAATATGGTTTGAAAAAAACAAGGTGGAGAGGCAGGGATAAAGGAATACAGGAATTTAAGACCGAGAGAAGATAAGGAGTGGATCCATCTGGGTTATCGTGAGCGATTCTGAGACATGTCCAACAAAATCACGAAGTATTTATTGCGGCCATCTCGCGGACCCTAGCCAAGTAGTACCTATTTACCAGCATGGATTAGACCAACAATTAACGACTTCGTAGACGGAGGCCACGTTTCGATTCGGCTTTGCTAGCTTTATTTATTTTTTTAAACACATGAACATTGGTACAAGGAGGTACCAAACAGATATACGCCACGTAAATCATTTGATTAATGTGAGGGCTAATTGCGCAAACCGAAGCAGGTGGTTTCCTTAATGGTTCACACCCCGAGCCTTCGACCTAAAGGTCTAATCAACAAGGCGGTGGAGCAACGTAAGGGATACAGTCCCATGGTAGCCAGGGACCAACGATTGGTTCATACACCATTTGTTCCCTCATGATCCTGGAGCCCATGTGCACCAATGGTTTAGAGTCGGGCTCTTTGTGTCCACCTCTCTAGCTTCCTCCCAACGTACTTCTGATGGATGAGAAAATCTCTACAGAAACAGACAGTGGCATGTTTAATTTTTTGATAATGTATACCATCTACAGCACAAACCAGTTATCTAAATATCGACTGTGGTGAAATGTACAGAAGCGCACTTTGTCCAACTATAAAATTACTTTGGTTGTTTATCAGAAAAGGATATCTAATGAATGTACTGAACGCATTACATGTACTTCTGAGGTTAGACATTCAGCGTTGAAATAATTGAAACAAATATTAGATCTGCATAATCTTAAGCCATTTCGACGTGACATGCTAGTTGAAGCCGAATCGAATAAATGCAACGTTGATGTGAATAAGACTTGATGTTAATTCATGAAGTGACTATCTGCTGAACTGAGCCTAGTACAAAATTTCATAATCTGGATTGTTAATAACAGTTTGAAATATTTCCACATTAATTTTGATGCAACTCATTTTATTTCCATAGTTTCGAAACTGTTAATATGTCATGTTTACCTCTGTTAGTGCGTATATATCTAGTATGGAGTATCACAACCACTAAGCACATAAACTATGATAACAACAAAATTAACAATAGTAGCACTTTTGATAACATTCGACTCACCGAACAGTCAACAACTGTTCTGTATTCCCATGTCGATCAATTAAAGTATGTAGTATTTTTTGTACAATTATTCGTATGACGGGATCTGGATCAATAGCGACACCACGTAATAAAAGATTTAGAAAGTCCGAATTCAATGCGTTCGATATAGCAACTGTTTTATATTGTGTGGCGACAGTTAGCATAGTTTGTAATAGGACCATAATTAACGGTTTCGGACGATCACCATACTCTGGATGATAACTGTTTAAAGAAAAGGAATAATCAAAGTACAATTGTTAAAGAGAAACTGAAATCCGAGACAACAATCAGTTATAATCAATGCAGGCCCTGTCAAAAATGTGCGTTAGCTTAAGTTGCCCTACTATAATAACGGGATAAAAAGTAATATGACATCAAAGTAGAAAAAAGAATAGTCCGATTTCGGCAATAGCATCAATATTAATAACTTTTAAAAGACACAGCTCATACCTTATATGGTGTATAAATCAAATAACTAAAAAAATAACTGGTAATCATTTCATTGTTTCTAAGAGCAATATTATTTAATATCTCATGCATGAGGCATATTTCCCAAATACATAAAATTGCTTGATTTAATATATACATTCGAATCCAAATATCTTCATAAACAAGAAAAGCCATTACAAAAGCGAACTGAAATACTCGCTATGTGTACAACAAAAAGCGTATCAACTATTCTGAATAACATTTCACATTAGTTTCTGATCACTAACTGAAAAATTTAGTTAGATTCAAATGTAGAATTATTTTAGAAAAGTAGTGATCAACTCCTTAGAGTTATTTAGAGACTTCATCTGTGTTACATATATTTGAGTGCCGAATACTAGAGACATTGAAATCCTAGCCACCTCTTAGATTCCAACAACTTAGCGAAATTTGTACATTGGGTAAAAAGAATGTGATAATACAAAAAGCTTAAGTAAGTTTAAGTGTAGATAAAAAAAATATTGGTACGTAAAGGTCTACTCAATAGTACCTAATTGAATTGTAAGGTCATTCTCCCATCTAAAGTAAATTCTTTAAACAACCTGAGAATCGATTCATTCCCCTTTTTCCTGAGACCACTGTAGAAGGGAAAAGTAATTTTTCTTTAACTTTAGAATGAAATTTTTTTGGAATTCTGTTATACAGCTTGTGCTATTGCTGTAATAGTTACGTCATTCCCTGAATTTAAGTATATTGGTTTATTTCTCTCTTTATATTTTCTCCTATCCCATTGAGCCTAAACCTTATAAAATTCGTTTCTATAGTGTCCACACAATGTATAAATCACATAATTTTCCAGATACCGAATCTAAAGTCAGAATAATAGAAAGTAAGATTCATAGTTATAAGTTTCTCACAATTTTTATTCATGATTATACAAGTAAAATATAATTACACATGGACGTGCGAAACAATTTACAGATTTCAGTTAGTTTACATATGAGATAATTTTAATATAACAACAAAATAGTCCATTCATACTTTAGTGGTTGTTTATTTTAGATTGCCAGTTATAATGACTGAAAAAAGATTCTATTACCCAGAAAATTCCCATTACTTACTAACCTACACCTGTAGCCCCTCGTGGAGGAGCATACGTTACCAACCAGAATTCTCTATCGAACCCTGCATTAAACGATCCATTCTAGTTGTTCCCAGTTGCTATTCATCCCTTTGATGTCGGCTTCCAATTCTCGAGACCCAGTGTGTTCTTTATTCTTCTACTCTTCCGTTTCCATTCAGAATTCCAAGTTGGCGCTTGCTTCGTGGTGCAGTTTGATTACTTCCCCAATGTTTGTCCTTTCTAATCCCAGTCTTTTCCTAATTTCTTCTTCGGCTGAAAGCTGGCTTGTCCTCTCCCACAGTACGCTGTTGCTGATGGTATCCAACGAACGAACATCGAGTATCTTGCGCAGGCAATTGTTCATAAATACTTGTATCTTTTAGATGATGGTTGTGGTAATTCTTGAAGTTTTATCTCCGCACAGTAGAACTGTCTCGATGTTCGTATTAAAGATCTTAGCTTTGATGTTAACGGACAGCTGTTTTAAGTTTCATATGTTTTTCAACTGCAGAAATGTCACCCTTTACATCTGCATCACATGCACATAGTGACGAATTCGACTTAACGGATTGCTCAACAATGATCCTAATGGTCGCGATTTGGTACACGATCGATCCTGATGGCATCTAGCTTGTTGATATCAAAGTTAGACATCCACTGAATCTTTCATTCGGTTCAACAACCCTCTGTTGAAAGCTTTTCCTGGTACCGATAATAGTGTGATGCCTCTGTAGTTCTCAAATTCGCTCAGATCTCCTTTCTTCAGTAGTTTGAAAAGATATCCTTCTTTCTAATCTGTCGGCACCTATTTCCCATTCACAATCTTCCTGAATAGAATGTGGAGCATATTTGAAGTTAATTCTATGCGTGACTTCAGTGCATCAGCTGGTATGTCGTCTGGTCTGGTTGGCTTTCCCACTCTCGATTGGTCCAATGGCAATACTGATTTTCATGATCGTTTGTGGAGTGAGATTCATATGAATGTCCGTAAGTGCTACCTCGATATCTTGTGTATTCGGCGAAGCTGGTCTTTTCGATAACTGTTCAAAGTGTTCTACCCATCAGTTCCTCTGTTCATGAATCTCACTGACAGGCTTGACTCCTTTGTCCTCGAAAGGTCTCTCTGGTTTACCATATTCTCATACCAGTTTCCTCGTTGTGTCATATAGTTGTTTATATTTCCTCCACTTGGAACGTTTCCCGTTGTCATTGCTAGGTCTTCCACGTATTTCTCCATATCAGCGTGCATGTTAGGTTCTCTCTCTTTTCTCTTGTTCGATTGTTGTTGATTGCTGTATTCTTGTTCTTCCTTTCTTGAATTTTGTCCAGGTTCTTGATAGAAATCCATTCCTTATGATGATGCTTCTTGAGTCCCAGAACCTCCTGACACATTGGAGTTAGTGCTCCTTTGATCCCTTTCCAGTTGTCCTCCATTGTAGTTTCCTCTTCTTCCAGTAGATCTTGTAAGGCTTGGAACCTGTTATTGAGAGCTATCTTGAATTCGTTGAGTCTGTCAGTATCTCGAAGGAGGGCTGCATCAAACCTTTGTAATCCTATTTTTCTAGTTGTCCAGTGCTTCTTTAGCTTTAGTTTCATCTTCGGTGATGATCTGAAGCTATATCAGCTCCTTTTCTGGTTCTCGCGTTTTCCATTGACCTTGTGAATATTTTAATGATGCAAATATGACCGATCCAGTTTTTTGTAGTGTGATCCAGTGAAACTCATGTAGCTTTGTGCATGCGTTTGTGGGGGAATATTGTGCAGCTTATAACCATTTTGTTGGAGGTACATAAGTTTACAAACCTGTCACCATTCTCGCTCCCTTCTCTCAGTCCATGTCGTGACCAGAGTACAGCAGCATCTCTCCCGAATCTATCCTTTTCTGTCCAGCTTGGGTCTAATGTATTTCATTGATTCTGAGCACTACCAAATTGTATCTCTTCATTTCCGTAGCTATTTGATCAGTCCTCTCAGTCTCCTACATTGTCCGAACATTCCATATACCTATATTAATTGTTGCCGTGGTGGTCAGAAGGGGAATCGGTCTCGTGATTTTCGAAAAATCTCGGCTTTCTTCTGAATGAAGGTCCTTCAACTCTTAGGACAGAGTTTAA